CCCACAGGTTCATTGACCTCTCAGTATTTCCATAGAACATGCTTTAGACCTGAAATAACCAGCTTCTTTGCATGTTCTTCCTATGTTAGAGGGCTAAGTTATACCATCCATCATATGTTGAGTATTTATCATGGCACAGTATGTATTGTGCATTACCATGTATAGTAGTTGAGGTGAGCTAAGCATAATCCATTTATTTGCTATGTTCTTTGCTTTCATAAAATATCAATTAAGCACCCATGTGCCAGGCATTAGGGATATATTATTTTTTTTTAAAAGTCTGGTGCTGGTGGCTCATGACTATAATTCTAGCTACTCATGAGGCTGAGGTCTATAATTTGAAGCGAGTCAGGACAGGAATGTCTCTGAGATTCTTTATCTCCAATCAACCACCAAAACCAGTAGTGGAACTGTGGCTTAAGTTGTAGAGTGCTAGCAATGAGCATACAGGGACAGGCCCAGACCCTGAATTCAAGCCTTGACTAGCGCTCGTCTGTATGCACGTGCATGAGTGCACACACATACATACATACACACACACAAAGACAAAGTAAAAAATGGAAACAGATAAAATATCAGCCTCATGAAGGCTAGCAGACAGAAAATCAGGTAAATAAATACACAAGTAAGATTGTAATAATTGCTAGGGAATAAATAAGCAAGGTGGTGAATCCCTGAGGAGACCATTTTAGATAGGATGGTTTATGATGGCCTCATCAAAATGTTTGAACTGAGTCCTAAAGAATGTGAAAGAGCTAGACACCAGTGGCTCATGCCTATATTCCTAGCTATTCAGGAGGCAGAGATCTAAGGATCAGAGTTCAAAGCCAGCCCAGGCAGGAGAGCCTGTGAGCCTCTTATTTCCACTTAACCACCAAAAAACCAGAAGTGGAGCTATGGCTCGAGTGGTAGAATTCTAGCTTTGAGCACAAAGCTCAGGGACTGCCCAAGCCCCAGGATGAATACACACACACAAGCCCCCCCACCCCCCAATGTGAAAGGGTTAAGTTTGTAGGTTTAGGGATAATAACATTTCAGGCAAATGCAATAACAAGAATAATTCCTGGCTATGCTAGGTTTGAGAAGCAGGAAAATGATCAAAGTAATTAAAGAGTTAGAGAAGGAAAGAAACTGATAGGTGATGTAAATGGAGAGTGACTCAGATCATGTAGAGGTGGTGGTTTTATGTGTATGTGTGTGCACATACAAGAGCACTGGTACTCCAGGCTTTCTGGTCTTAATTGGCATTTTGATCTTGGCTGGCACTCTACCACTGGAGCCATACCTCCAATTCTAAATTTTGCTGGTTGATTGTAAGTAAGAATCTCACAGTCTTATCTGCTTAGGCTAACTTCAAATAAAAAATTTATAGGTCTCAGCTTCCTGAGTAACCAGGATTATAGTCCTAAACCACTGATAACTTGCCTCATGAAGAATTTTTTTTGGGTCCGGTCGTGGAGCCTGAACTCTGGACCTGGGCGCTGTCCCTCAGCTCTTCAGCTCAAGGCTAGCACTCTACCACTTGAGCCACAGTGCCACTTCTGGCTTTTTTTTCTGCTTATGTGGAATCGAACCCAGGGCCTCATGCATGCAAGGCAAGCGCTCTACCACTGAGCTACCTTCCCAACCCCACATGAAGAATTTTTAAGGAGCATGTTAAGTATTCTTTATTGACCATTAATTGTAGTGGAAAGCCATTGGAGTTTTTTACACAGATTAGTGACTTTAAGTATAGTTTAGCAAGTTAGCTTTAGTTGATTTATACCTGGCAAACAGATTAAAGAAATGGAAAGGAAGAAGCAAATAATTAGGGTGCTATTTTAGTAGATCAGACAAGACACAATGGTGACTTCACCCAGAGTATCATAATGGAGAGTAGGTGAATATAAGATTTATTTTGGGTCAGGCTCTGGTGGCTCACGCCTGTAATCGTAGCTACTCAGGAGGCTGAGATCTGAGGATCATGGTTCAGAACAAGCCTGGGCAGGAAAAGTCCATGTGACTCTTATCTCCAATAAAATCACTCAGGAAACTGGAAGAGGTGCTGTGGCTCAAGTGGTAGAGCACTAGCCTTGAGCTGAAGAACTGAGGGACAGCGCCTAGGTCTACAGTTCAAGCCCTATGATTCACCAAAAAGAAAAAAAAAAGATTTATTTTGGAGGTTGATTCAAAAGGCCTTGTTTATTATTTAAATTTAGAAGTTGCAGGAAGTTGAAAGAAGTAGAAAAGATTTCAGGAACAAGCCTTATTTGGGGGTTGGAGAAGTGGGGTTCCTGGAAGTTCTATTATTGGGACAGATTTCCAGAGATAGTAATCAAGGGCTATACTTTAGATTTAGTAAGTTAGATGTATGTGTTGAACATTTGAGGTTCATAAGTTAGGTAGTTATATAAAAGTCTACTAGTTCAGGGGAGAGGTTTGGGCCTAAGGGATTAATGTAGGAATAACTAGCAGATTGATATTTTGGAAATGGAGAAAAGAAGATCATTCAGGACGGAACTCTTAGGCATCCCAGCATAGAAAATTGAGGTAGGAGATAAAGAATCATCAAAAACTTGGAGAAGGAATGATGAGCCAGCTAAGTATGGTAACAAAAAGGCAGGAAAGAAGAGTGAAGAAAGAAGGATTTACTTTACAAATGCTGCTGAGTAGTTGGGGAACATGAAGTTAGTGGAGGGTTTGTTCAATTTGGTCATCACTTTTTGGTATTTTGATGAACAGTGATGGTGTAATGGGAACAGAATCTAGATCAGAGCAAATGGCAATGTAAATAGGAGTCAAGAAGTCAGGGACAAGTGAGTGAAGACATTGTGTTCATAAAGTTTTACTCTGCACAGAAGCAGGAAAGGGCAACTAGAAGACACCTGAAGTCAAAGGGGTGCTAATGTACTGAAAAGAATAAGCCAGTTAAGGGAAGAAATTGCTGATGATGGAAAGAGAGAGTGGTATAATTACAGGAGTTAAAGCGTTTATGAAGTCAAGTGGGATCTGGAACATTTGTTTAATTGGAGCAGTTACACTGTCATCCATTGTAATAGAAGGGTAATAAAGAATGGAAGTTGAAATGTGGGTTGATTGTAGAGTTGATGATGGGAAGATGAAGAAATTCTTAACAACTTTTTCCTCTCTCATTTCCTCTACCCTACCCCTTTATTTTCCTTCTTTTCCCTCTTCATCCCTTCCTTTTTTTCCCCCTTAGAATAAGAACGTAGGCTCTTGGTGCCTTCTAGGCAGGCACAGTGAACAATATCCCTAACCCGGAAGTTGAAGAAATTCTTGATGATAACAGCCATTTTCTCAGTAAAAAATTGAGAATATAAGTTGATGCATTGTATATGTACACATTTCTATTTGTACATGAATGTGTATGTCTAAGACTAGGTAATGATATATGGGCCTGAGAGAGTAGGACTTAAGCAGCCAGAGGTATAAGAAGATGAGATTAGTCCTGCCCAAGTTTTGGATGTGGAGATAATTATTTCCATCTATGAATTTTGAATGTGTTGCTTCCTTGTAGAGGTAGGGGCAGAGCCATGGCATTCATATGTAGTTGGCAGTGGATTATGCTCTGTGGAGAGAGGGATTTGAGATTTTTCTCCGCTCCTGTGTGGTATTATACTAATCATTTGAACAGAACATTACTAGCACATATATAATATGTGCTCAGTAAGTGGGAGTCATCAGTTATTTTGAATTAGTTTTAGACTGAGGTTTAACAAAACATGTTTTTATAGAGCCCAAAAGAAATCTCTATAATGAATCAAAGACTAAATGAGCAAAAGCTTTCTTGAAAGTTGTTGGGATTGTGTTGAGACTGATATTGCCCCTTCTAAAGTAGAGCCAGATCAGTAGCCCTTTTCTCTTTCAGATCTGAGGTTTCATGACATACAATTGAACAATCTTGTCATAGTCCATTGTGTTAATTACTTTTGTATTTCTGTATGCTGGATATAAACAACTTAAAAGAGAGTAAGGATTTATTTTGCTCATGATTTCAGAAGTTTTGTCCATTACAATGGAGATGGTATAGTGGAACAGATCTGTTCAACTCATGGCAACCCAGAAGCAAAGTGTAAGAGATTACAGAATGGGGCCAGGGCTCCTAAAGACATGCTCCTGGCCTATTTCTTCCAATGCTGTCATATTTTGAATGTTGTCTGATTAGTTCAGAATCCTCAGGATCCAATCATTTCCCCCAAGTCCTATCAATTAGCAATCAAGTCTCCAATACATGAGCATGTGGAAACCACAACGACCATATTCCATATTTCCACTTGTTCACGTTAGTCTTCTTCACTGAACTGAATGCTAGTGGTGAGACCTTGTCCCTTTCCATATGTGAATGTCCTTTCTCCAATCAAGATGAATGGCTGTGTCTTGAATCAGCTCCAAGGTTTTTTTTGTGAGGATATAAGTAGTCTCTGCTTGAGATTAGTAGCATATTTGTTTCCTTTACTCCCCTTGGTAGCTGGCCTTGATACAGTATGAGTATATCTAACTCATTTATATGAAGACAGATTGACTTGAGAAATTAAGATCAGGTGCACTATGAGTGGCATGGGTCCCTTTTGTATCCCTGCCAAGAAAAATATAAATAAGGGTGTATGTTACTCGCTATCTTTGTATACCCTTCCCACTAGGAGGCCTTGCTGGGAAATATACTCAGAGAACAGCATTGTACAGACATTCCAAATCCATTTCTGTTTAAGCAGCTGGGTAACAGTTATTTAATGTGAGCTTTTATCTTCCCTGTGCTTTCTCATCCTTTTTTTTTTTTTTTTTTTCTAATGACGTAGCTCCATCTTTAATTGTATCTTTTCCTCCACTAGCTTCTAGGTAAGGTCACCTTGTTGGACCCCTGGCTGAAAGCAAAGGTAGGATAGTACACTAGAGTTCTAGCTGTTCTGGCCTAGCTTTCCTTGGCTGCCACATACCCAGTATACTTTCTGTCTTGCACAATTTAATGTCATTCTCCTGACTCTCAGCTTTTCTTTGGATAGGCTTGACATCAACACCAACACTTATACATCTCAGGATCTCAAGAGTGCCTTGGCCAAATTCAAAGAGGGGGAAGAGATGAAGAATTCAAAGGAAGATAAGGTATGTGGTATTCTTTCCAGTTAGTAAAAGCTATTTCTATAAACCTTAGTGTTTTTGTATGGGAAAAAAGTTTTTCCAGTAGGTGTTACAATAAAAATTGGGTGGTTATATTATAAAAACAATTTAAAGAGTGACAAAAACCCTTTATAGACTTTTTTGTTTTTGTTAGTTGTAGGGCTTAAACTCTGGGCCCGTGCACTGCCCCTGAGCTCTTCAGCTCAAGGCTAGTGCTGTACCACTTGAGGTACAGCGCCACTTTCTGTTTTCTGGTGGTTAATTGAAGAGTCTCATGGATGTTCCTGCCCGTGCTGGCTTTGAATTGCAATCCTCAGATCTCAGCCTCCTGAGTAACTAGGATTATAGGCGTAAGCCACTGGCACCTGGCTAGACTGTTTTTTTAAAAACAACACTGGGAGCATTTCTATCTAGGTTAGCATTTCCACCACATGATTGGAGAAATTGCAGGACAGAACAAAAATGACCATATTCTCCATTATCATAAACAAGAATAGTTAAAAGATTACAACTCAGAGCAGAGCCTCTCACTTTGTCCACAGGTAGGCACATGTTGTTCCAGACAAATAGAATTCAACCAGTTGTTTTGTCCTTTTAACATGTAGCAAATGTATTTTTTAATGGGCATTAGGTTTCTTAAGCATGAGACTTATTATTGGGACAAGAGTATAACTTGAGTTTTCCTAGCTATAAATTTCTTGGCAAGCTGAGGAAATAAGAAGGAAAAAGAGGCAGATACAACTACTTGGTTGTGCTCCTAATATCTGGGAGGATTTACAAGTATACTATACTCAGAGTAATCCTTCTTGAAGTGGATATGAGTTCAATATAATATCCAGGGAATTTCACAAAACATTTTTTACCTTTGTAATTGAGTCCTCTGAGTCCTTTAAAGGACCTCCTTTAGTGTTTGCCTTGGGGAACTCTCAAGTTCTCCTTTTTTTCCATCTTAGAATCTCCTTACTCTTTGTCTACCTCTCTCCCATCTCCTAGGATCATAGCATTGTCTGACAGGGGTAGCATTAGGTTTTTTGTAAGAAAGCTTTAGATGTTTCAGATCCTTTAGAACTAAGCTAACTTTTGTAGGAGGGCTGGTGTTGACCTGTTTAAGGCAGGTTAATCCACAGGCCAACTCTTCATGACTTTATTTTCATATCCTGCCTGGGTAGTGTGCATAGTGTGGGAACATTAGGGACAAGTAGCAGCAGCAGCAGGTAAGGGATGGTGATGCATGAAATTCATTCTGCCGCACACATAGTCACTGAGTAAAAGCAAATCGGCTGTCTGGTGCAAGTGAGTGTGAGAGAGTAGAGCGTGAGTGCTTGGACTGGTGTTCTGGGTTCTTTCTGCTGTCATCTCTTTGCTGTGGCCCTCGTGTGAGACCGATTGGAACATAAAAGTTGCTCTGGCTTCATAACTCCTGTTGCTTCTCTCTGCTCTCTTGGGAAGTACAGTGGGATTTTCTTTCCTCAGATAATGGCATTTTACTCTCATAATTCAGTGTATAAAAGTATGAATATTGTGAAAATATTTGAAAAACCAAAAGCAAAGGATTCTTTTCTTTTTTTTTTTGGTCGGTCGTGAGGCTTGAACTCTGGGCCTGAGCGCTGTCCCTCAGCTCTTCAGCTCAAGGGTAGCGCTCTACCACTTGAGCTACAGCGCCACTTCCCAAAGGATTATTTTCTATTGCTGATTTTTGCAATAAAAAAAAAAGTTCTGCCGGGCGCCGGTGGCTCATGCCTGTAATCCTAGCTACTCAGGAGGCTGAGATCTGAGGATTGTGGTTCAAAGCCAGCTCGGGCAGGAAAGTCCGTGAGACTCATCTCCAATAAACCACCAGAAAACTGGAAGTGGTGCTGTAATTCAAGTGGTAGAGCGCTCGCCTTGAGCTGAAGAGCTGAGGGACAGCGTTCAGGCCCAGAGTTCAAGTCCCACAACTGACAAAAAAAAAAAAAAAAGGTCTGTCTTATTGCTGAAGTCCACATATGAGCAGTGGAAACCAAGAACCTAGTACCTGCTGATTTGAGTTAGCTACCCTCTTCTGAGTTATGGCTGTCATTCGGTGTCCTTATTTCTGTGGAGTTTAGGTTGTTAGCATTTTCATTGAATTGCTGCATCCTGGGATCCTTCAGTTTTCATTTTGAGCCTATCTGGACTGACTCAGCTCCCTGTCAATGTGCTGTCAGCACTGGCTGTGGAACTTGAAAATAAATTGACATATAATAGTCTGGGGATTTTTTTTTTTTACATGTTTTCAAGCTCTTGGCTACAAATGCCTTCATACTTTTAGCTTATTAATTTTTAAACCCCTCCTGTATGGTGTCTTGTAAGTACAGGTGCTTTTGCTATTTATAAAGATAATACTGTTAGATATTGGCCATATCTCTTGTAATTTTTTTTTTTTTTTTTTTGGTGCTACTAGGGTTTAAAATCAAGGCTTTTCATTTGTTCAGTTTGCTTGTTCAGCTGGCGCTCTACTACTGAGTTATATCTCCAGCCCTTATTTTTGCTGGTTATTTTGGAGATGGAATCTAGTGGATTTTTCTGCCCAGGCTTATATGAACCTCAATTCTCTGGATTCCTGAGTAGTTAGGATTACAGGTATGATCCACTGGAGCATGGTTCTGTTCTGCATTTGGTATTTTGGGGAGAAATGCATTAATTTCTTTGTATTAGTGGTTGCCTTAGTTGATTTAGAAGAAGAGTTTCTCACCTCTCAAAAAAGCCATCTATCAGTTTTAGATTGTTATTGTTGAATCTTACCCATTTATCTCTCTTTTACAGTGCATATTGCTTGATGTTTATACCTTATCATGTCAGCCACTGTTCACTTGTAACTTAAATTTTTTTATATTTTAAAATATGACCATCTTAAACTTTTGATTCTGGCAAGACATGGTAGACTCTTTTTTTCCATCCCAAATACAAATAAAGGGAAAAAATTAATGGTGATGAGATGAGTTGGATAGAGACACTGAAACTTCAGGAGTGACTCAGCAATGAGTTTTGAGTTTCTTGGTTTTCTTTTTGCCCTCTGTATCCCAAACTGGGAACTGGAGACTCCCACATCCTGGAAATGCCAGCAGGTACAGATACTAAAATGCTCTTAAAAAAAAAAAAAAAGCCTGGGGCTGGGAAGGTGGCTCAGTGGTAGAGCGCTTGCCTCGCATGCATGAGGCCCTGGGTTCGATTCCTTAGCACCACATAAGCAAAAAGGAAAAAAAGCTGGAAGTGGCGCTATGGCTCAAGTGGTAGAGTGCTAGCCTTGAGCTAAAGAGCTGAGGGACAGCGCCCAGGCCCAAAGTTCAGGCCCCACTACTGGAACCAAAAAAAAAAAAAAAAACCTGTTCTTTCTAGATGAAAGCCTGAAAAAGTTGTCTAACATGAAAACTTTGACAACACTTGTCCTATTCTAGCAAAAGATAATGGAAACAATTCCCCACCCTTGGCCACAAGAAGTTTAGAGAAGAGTTTGGATTTCCATCCTGCTTGGTGGTAATAGCATTGTGGGGATTCTGATCATGTACTCCCTCCTAATGTTAATCAAGTAATATGAGTCAGTTCTCTGTTGCTTTCACCAAAATGTGTCAGAAGATAAGCAGAGAGGTTGAATTTTCCACCCTCTGCCTATAGCTACTCTCTGCCCTGAATGGTACAGCAGAGACTAAGTTAGATCCTGATTTTCCAGAACCCCTGTTTAGGGGTAGCAGGCTTCTTATATGTCAGTGTGGTACCAGCAGAATCCAAGCAGGGAACCTCAATGTTGGTCCTCTGCTAGCAGCACCAACATGGATTTTCACTTCTCTGTAATGAGGTAGTATTAATAGGAATGTACAGGGAGTCTGATCTTCCAACCCTACCCTGGTAGTAAAAGGCAGTGTGAGGAAGCATTCTGCCTCCCACTCTGGGATAGGGTCAGTCAGGTAAGTGAGGAGCATGAACTACTTTCAGTCTAGCAGCAATGACTTAGAGCTTTGGTTCCCCTAACCAGGTGGTGTTGGGAGGAGCTAGTCTTTCACTATCAATATCCAGGGTCTAGTGGTAGCAAATTATGGTCTTTACCTTCCCAACTAGAGAGTAAGGGTAGATATTTGGAAGAACAGAGCTGAAGAAAGATTTTGCAAAGTTCTGGCCACAACTCTTAAGTAGCCCCATTATAAACTGAGCAGATTTAATATAGCAAAAGATAAAACTGAACCACAGTATGGAATATTTACAGATTTTTAGATTGTCTTGTATAGCATACAAAGAAAGCAGTCCAGAATAGTGTTGCATACTTAAAAGTCACAGTAGCTACAGCCCACACAAGTAAGCCACACCAGCAAAATAAACCTAAACAGGTGACTACTTACTGAGGAATACACTTAAATAAGATTGGGACTCCTACTACAAATATATGTCTAGCATATATTTGAAAAATCATTTTGCTAAACTAGGACAAAGAAAACCACAACTTGAATTTGGAGAAGACAAGTGCTATTATGGTTTGAAAGTTGGTGTTATTTGGGACTTTTGGGAAGTAATTAGGTTTTTAGATAATGAGGATGGAACCCCATGATGGGTTTATTGTTTCCATATCTCATAAGAAGAGGAAGAGAGCCTAGATACTCAGGAGGCTGAGATCTGAGGATTGCAGTTCAAAGCCAGCCCCAGCAGAATAATTCATGAGACCAATATCTCCAATTAGCCAGTAAGAAAAGCCATAAGTGGAGCTATGGCTCAAGTCATAGAACACCATCTTTGAGTGAAAAGCTAAGGGAAAGCACCCACTCCTCAAGTCAAGATATAACTAAAAGGTAATTGTCTGCACTCAAGGAAGAGATCCTTCACTAGGAACTTTATTTTAGATTTCCCAGCCTCCAGAACGCTTAGGAATAAAATTCTGTTGTTTAACTCACTTTAACTCACCCATTTTATTAATCCACATTTTTAGACCTCTTCCTTGAGTGATGACTTATAAGTAGCTAACAAAGATTTTAAAGCAA